CCCAAAACTGCTAGAACTCATACAGGAATTCAGTAAAGTGGCAGGATATAAAATCAATGCACAGAAATCAGTGGCATACCTATACACCAACAACAAGACAGAAGAAAGAGAAAGCAATTCCTTTTTGCATTAGATTTCTGAAATGAGATAAAATGCTATTTAAAAAAATTAATTTTTGCTCTTGACTCAGTCAAAATATTTTTTGAAATTATATTCTTTGTTGTACTAGAGGTTATTTAAAAAGTAAAAGCAATTTGTGTTTATGAGGGTTTCATTGTGTGTTATCATTGATGAGCTTTTATTAAACATATATGTCCTTTATTCTGTTCAAATGGCTTTCAGCAAATTTCAGTCATATTTTGATGCAGGGTATTGCAAAAGCAACTTGTGTTCCTATTAATCATGTATGTCCTCAATTAAAAGACCATAGACTTCTGGAAACTATATGTTGTATGGTAACTTATTTTGTTTGTTAAACTAATTGGACATTTCTGGCAGAGGTTACATGTGTATGATACACTTTTCTTGAAGGAAGTTATTGAATTGGACATGAAATATAATGTTTCCCTCTAAGTCTGATTCTTACAGGGGTATCTGCTGTCCCCTGACCATGAGTTAGTTACTTTTGGAAGTAGCATTAACTCAGATAAGCTGCTATTGTGTTGTATTATGCCATTTCTAGAGGCGCTAAAGTTGTATTAAAAAAAAAAAAAAACAGAAAAAAGAAGTATCTCAATCTTAGTGGGAATCTGACTCATTGACTTGATTTATACATTATGAAGTGTGCCCTAGATTACCATATTATAGTTGTGTGTGTGTATGAGTGTATAGAAACAGGATATGATATTTATAATGATTTTATGTCATAAGTTGCAGGCTGAAATAAATAAATGAATATATAAATTCCTATTTGTGATAACCAGTTGTCAGTCCTTCTTTCAAAGTGGATTTGAGCTCAACATTTTAAATTGAGTATGATTAAGTTACAATTTCTTAAACTTACTTATTTAAATTTTTCCTGTAATAGTCTACTTTAAATAAAATTCCATTACATATCACCTCTATATCAACTTCTCAATCTATTTTTCAAGAGTTATAAAAATTTTAATGAGTGCATATGGCATTCAAGGACAGTGTATTTTGTAGCAAACAATTATCAGGAATAAGACAAGAAGTATGTGTAGTTATAGTAACCTAACAACCTCTGGTGCTAAGGAGTGAAATGTAGTTAGGGTGGCTACGTAACTTACTCCAGCTGGGAGATCATGAAGAAAAGAGGTTATTATATTGATATGAGAGATATTAACAGTAGATGTTCTAAAACTTAGTCATTAAATTTATTATCAAAGTGAAACATTTGAACAAATTCAGTATCATTTTCTTAGTTGGTAGGCCAGTAGGAATCTAAATATATAAAAGTTGGGAATGCCTTATTGCATGAGGCTTACCAAATACTTTCCCTGGTTTTTTATAATTACCTTGTGAAAATAATGAGTAAAACTCAATTGATGTAATTGGAAATGTCAACAGTAAGTTTTGGTGGCTACATTTGTCCCAACCTTTCTCTTTGTGTCTATGATACCTGAAATCAT